CCATACAGAAAATTACCGCAGCTGATGTCATCTCAAACACTGCACTAATAGGACTGAATCGATTTATTTTTTAGGTCAACGCTTTTGGGTTATTTAATGCCAGACTATTTTCAAATAAAATTTTTATTTAACATTAAAATTTTGCTTTAATTTTTGATTTTAAGTTAAAATTTTTTAAAGATAAATTTCTTTTTTTTTTTGTTTTTGTATAGATAAGAATTTTTCGATGTTTGGTTTGAAATGTTTACTAAACATGTTAAGACTCAATTTCCTATGTATATATCAAGTCATTAAAATTATGTGTATATAAATTTCAAAACTATATATATATATATATATATATATATATATATATATATACACACACACACACACAGGCAATAACCCATTGGTTTATAATCCAAGTGAATCCTATTAATACAATATAAAATATTACATTAAAACTAATTCACACATAGAGCTCAATGTTTTAATTAAACAGAGCAATATATTTCATACAATGTTGCTTAAGATTACATTACTTTTTCTCTTTTTCTTTCCTTCCTCTGTTTGGCCATTTTTATTTCAATAATTTATCAACCATTGACTGGTTTGAAATATCCTTGTAAATTTTACAAGATGAAAATGATCATTAACCTAATGTAATCTTAATTCCTATTGTATTATATATATTTTTAAAGACTAACCTTTTAAAAATTGTAAAATGCTACTTGTACTAACATTATCAAAAAGTACTTTTAGCTTGGTTGTTTTTCATGAACTAGTTTGAAGTTCACACATTCTGTCAATGTATGTTTTACAGTGTATCTTACCACAACATGGGGTGGGGGTGCTCATTTTTTAGTCTATATGACTTTGTAATAGAGGTGTGTCCAATGTGGAATCTAGCAAGTATTACTGTCTGCTAAAATGGACAAGGAAAAAATGTAATCAGAATATCATTTACACCCACCCACTAGCATGCACATACTGTACCCAAGTCAAAAACAGCATTAGTCTTTCAGAGTGTTACAATTTTATTTGTCATCAGTGTTCCAAGCACCTCACCTTCACCATTAACCAGATTCACAACAAGAATGGCAAAAAATTTCAAGTCACCAACATCCTCTACAGAGAATAATTAGCGATTGACAATAGACAGAGACAAATTGATGTTAAAAACTGTAATTCTTTAAATTAGACAATGCCTCATGCAAGTCGTGTAAATATTGTTATGTCCTTTTCGCAATATCACCTTCAGTTATTAGATCAGAAATCTCTCAAATGCAACATCACACATTAAATGGTTACCAGAAAAACAAAAAAAACTTTATTCTAAAATAGCTGTTAGGTGGTGGTGGTGGGGGGCATTAGCATTATTTTCTACAAGCTCTTTCCTTCATTAAGAATTTTTTTTTTTTAGAAGATTTTTGAATTATGATAAATCCTACTTCCTATAAATCCTTAATTTGTTTCACTCTCCAAGAAAATGATTCAAGCATGTTAATCCCAATATTCACTTTTTGATATGACTAGAACAAATTTAAAGCCAATCATCAAAGCAATAAAAAGTCAACCTTTGAGGTCTTCACAACTTTAGGGAATGCAAGGAAGCTTCTAAATGTAAAACATTCCTACAAATGCAGGAAGTTTATTGTCAAAATAATTTGAAATATATTAAAACTCTAGTAGAAACTGCCTTCATTTTTTTTTTTTTTTAAGAGAAAAGAAAGTAAACCTCATACATACCCCCTCTGCAGTGACCTGAACTGGTCCTGTACTTTTGTCCTTAGCTTTAGATCTTGAAATAGGGCCAAATTTAGAAACAATTGGAGGATCAAATGGGATGAAATCATCAATGTATTCCCCATGCTGTTGTCTAGAAAAGAGATCAACACTTCAGAGAAGGGCATGGAAAGAAAAAAAAAAAAGAAAAAGAAAAAAAAAGGTAAACCATTTTCTTTATGAATTCAAAAGTTAGCATTTCAAAAACTGATTTTATGTTTTTTTATTTATTTTAAATTTATAAATTAGCAGAAAAGAGTTTAATAAAAAATTTTGACCAATTTATTTTTTGCCTTCATAAAGTTAATATAAAAAAAAAATATTTTTAAGCAGGCCTAAGAAAAAAAAAAAAGAGGAAAATAATGAAAGAACTTCATTTCCTAGAATTTATAGTCTAATTCTATTTTTACATTTTCAAAAAAAAAAAAAAAAAAAAAAAAAAAAAAGATTTCTCTACACTCAAACAACTTGTTAAACAAATCATTGAAATAAGCTTTGAATATTTCTAAGTTTGGTGAACAGAAAACCATTTGTTGTAAATACATCAACCAATACATACCTGGTGAACTCTTCCCTGGCATCATCATAGAGATCCTTTTTGCTAGAGTCTATGAACATATCAAAAAAAGTGGCTGGATCCTACAGAAAAAGAAATAAAGTTTTGTTGGAAAAAGCATGCATAAGTATTAGCCAAACTCATTTTATTGCTCATTAAATATTTGAAATTGTAACTCCTGAATTACCAAAGAAATCATCATGGGGGGTATATAGTCTTATTTTTAAAGAAGAATCAGCAATATTATTGGACTTGATCTGGCAGCTCAGCTTCAGTCACTTTCCCACTGTCATAAGGTTGCCTCCCTGTGTCTTTTATATAAATACTTTCATGGTAATTTTTTGGATGAGCTCTTCACTATGGTCCCAAGACTTTATGAATTTAAGCACAATACTGGACTAGATCATCAATTTACAGTTGAGCTGACAAGATGTAACTAAGTTTTATGCTAACAGTTTCTTCTCTCACACTTCTCACTTGTGGAACTGTCTGCTGGATCCATGGTTTCCAACCAACTTTAATCCCCAAACATTTAAATGCAATATCACTTGCTACCTACTGTTCTCCTGATTATTCTTTTCTCTTCCTGCTCATTATTAATGTTCCTATTCCTAATTTTTCCACACCCCTGTGCCTTAGTGGCTTTACTACCTTGCTTGGGATGAGAAAAGACAGAAAAGACAAAAAAAGAGACAAAAAAGACAAAAAAAAGAGACAAGAAAGAAGAGAGAAAAAAGAAAGAAGAGAGAAAAGAGACAAAAAAAGAGAGAGAAAAGAAGAGAGAAAAGAGACAAAAACAAAAAAGAAAAAAAAGAAAAAAAAGAGAAAAAAAAAAAAGACAAAAAGAAAAAAAAAAAAAAAAAAAAAAAAAAAAAAAAAAAAAAAAAAAAAAAAAAAAAAAAGAAAAAAAAAAAAAAAAAGAAAAAAAAAAAAAAAAAAAAAAAAGAAAAAAAAAAAAAAGAAAAGAAAAAAAAAAGAAAGAAAAAAAAAGAAAAAAAGAAAAGAAAAGAAAAAAAAGAGAAAAGAAAAGAAAAAAAAAAGAGAAAAAAAAAGAAAAGAAAAAAGAGAAAGAAAAAGAAAAAAGAGAAAGAAAAGAAAAGAAAAAAAAGAGAAAGAAAAGAAAAGAAAAAAAAGAGAAAGAAAAGAAAAGAAAAAAAAGAGAAAGAAAAGAAAAGAAAAAAAAGAGAAAGAAAAGAAAAGAAAAAAAGAAAGAAAAAAAAAAAAAGAAAAGAAAAGAAAAAAAAAGAAAAGAAAAGAAAAAGAAAGAAAAGAAAAGAAAGAAAAAAAAAAGAAAAGAAAAAAAAGAAAAAGAAAAAAAAGAAAAGAAAAGAAAAAAAAAAAAAAAAGAAAGAAAGAAAAGAAAAAAGAAAGAAAAAAAAGAAAAAAAAGAAAAGAAAAAAAAAAGAGAAAGAAAAGAAAAAAAAAAGAGAAAGAAAAGAAAAAAAAAAGAGAAAGAAAAGAAAAAAAAAAAGAAAGAAAAAGAAAAAAAAGAGAAAGAAAAGAAAAGAAAAAAAGAGAAAGAAAAGAAAAGAAAAAAAAGAGAAAGAAAAGAAAAGAAAAAAAAGAGAAAGAAAAGAAAAGAAAAAAAAGAGAAAGAAAAGAAAAGAAAAAAAAGAGAAAGAAAAGAAAAGAAAGAAAAGAGAAAAAAGAAAAGTAATTAAAAAGTAATTTGTATGGAACATTTTTGAACAAGCTTTAGTATTGTTAATCCAGATTTTTTTTTATGTCCAGAAAAAAAAAAGAAAGAAAAAAAGACAAAACTATAGGAAAAGAAAAAAAAAAAAAAATCTTTTTAACCTAAAAATTTGTGTTAAAATGGTCAAAAGGTGTCTGTTGGAATTGAAGTCCTATTTCAAATGAAAGATCATACATTGTGACAAAAGCATATCCCCAGTTTATCAATGGTATGGAATGTATACATATATTCTATATCATAAGGAAACAAAAAAATTAAAAAAAAAAAAAAAAAAGGTGGGAAATGTAAAGACACAAACCTTGTTGCCAGTTTCTGTCGGATGGGTGCTGTTTGTCAACTGTGTGGCATTTTGGTTTGCAGTATGATAAGGTGAATCCATAGACATACTAGGGCTGTCGCCACTGGACCATGACACATAACTCGATTCAGTCGAGGTACATACATTAGAAGAACCTGCAAATAGAATGACAGAGTCAAAAGGAAATAGGTTTAACGAGACAGAAAAGTTCCGAGATGTCATTTTGTTACCTGGAATAAAGAAACAAGGACTTGGCAATAGAAAGTAGATGAAATGATTTTAGATTTATTTCTTTTAATGAGAACAATTGATAAACGGGTATCAAGCATATGACAAACCTTTGCAGGACATACAGAAAAGGCATTCTCATCTGCATATAAACAAATCATTTAGCAGATGTCCATACATTTATCAATTTCAGGCATACTGCTGTTTTTGTTAAAGTTGCACACACACACAAAACCATGTTTATAAGCTTTTTTGTAACCTTGTTCACAACTATTTGCTCATGTATGACCAACAGAAAATACAGTGGAAATCCTAATTTATCAATGCTTTCAAGCAGCATAAAAAAAAGGATTTAATTTTAATTCCTCAAAAAGAACAGAAATTCTGTCGTCGTTTTCTTTATTAGATTTCAATTTAAAAAAAGAACATTTGTTGTTTGCATTTCAACGCTTGCTTTTTCAGCGAAAAACAAGGAAAAAAGAAAAACAAGGAAAAAAGAAAAACAAGGAAAAAAGAAAAACAAGGAAAAAAGAAAAACAAGGAAAAAAGAAAAACAAGGAAAAAAAAAAGAAAAGAAAAAAGGCAAAGAGAAAAAAAAGGCAAAGAGAAAAAAAAAGGAAAAAAAGGGAAAAAAAAAAAAAGGGAGAAAAAAAAAAGAGAAAAAAAAAAAAAAAAAAGGAGAAAAAAAAGGGAAAGAGAAAAAAAAAAGGGAAAGAGAAAAAAAAGGAAGAAAGAAAGAAAAAGGTAAAATGAAAAAGGTAAAAAAAAAAAAAAAAATAAAATAAAAAAAAAAATAAAAAAGTAAAATTGAAAAAGTATGAAAAATAGAATAAAAAGTAGAGAAAAAAAACTTTTTTTTTTAACAAAAATATAATTTTAGGAAGTTTTCATTTCCTCCCCACCTGGGACAAGCCAGTTTTTAGTTGCAAAACACTCAAACAATTAAAACATCAAAACTGTCTTGCTATTTAAACTATCTAAAAAAAATTCTTTATTTTTAAAGATTGTCATGCAATTTTAATTTGTTTTAGTGTTAAATATCAAGAGATCATCATTTATTTCAGAATTCAAAAGCAAAATTCACATTTTAAATCTTCTTCCAAAACAGAACGGCATAAGGATGCCTTGTAATAAATCGTAATGCTTAGGTCTAAACTAAAATGTATGAAATTCAGAGAATCTTTAACATTAGGAAAAGGTATTAGCACCCAAAAAGCATTTCATTGAAAGTATTTTAAGTGAATATAGTTCAAGTTCTAGTCCAGTCTGTTACATTGACTTCATATACCTCAGGAAAAGCATGAATACATCTCTTCTCCCTGTAGCTATGGGTTAAATAGCAGACAGGCCTGTCAAAGAGAAAGACAACTCTGAATTCAAAAACTGTGGAGAAAAAAAAAAAAACAAAACACTCCACTATCTTTCCCCAAGAAACACATTATCTATACATTAAAGAAAAGAAAGTTGTGGAGAGATATAATCATCTCTGCCCTGAGGGGACATGTCAAAAAAAAAAAAATTTACAGAACAATATTTGACTGGAATAAGTGCACCTCAGGATAAGGTGGGATGTATAAAACCTTCAAAGAAAGCAACATGCCTTTCACACAGACACACACACAAAAAAAAAATATAGACATATTCTGTATGTCAACCATTTCATAAGTTAGCACGACAAATGGTAAATGTTTATTACCAATCACCCCCCCAAAAAAGTCTCATCACTGTTGACCTTGTGAACAAGTCAGAGGAACATATAGGCAAAAACGTAAAACCCAAAGAGAATTTCAAAATTGACCAATCACAGATTTTGAGATTCGCTTTCAGATGTAGAAAATGTCAATTCTTATCATTTCTGACAATACATTTTGTTTCATTTCAGGCATTAATTTCTTATAAAAAAAAAAAAAAAAAACTTGTTAAACAGCCAGATAGAAAAATGTTCATGCCAAATGCAAAACAATTGATTTCTACTTGTGAATTTTAAACTTTCCTGCAATGCATTAACTTTTCAAGAATCTATTAAATTTCTGCATTCCACAATTAGTTCTCTACTTAGGGAATTACATTTCAATTTTTTTTAATTTTTTTGTTTGCTTTTGTTCATCATCTTAGAGTGTAGATGAATTTGAAGGCAGCTTATGGGCTGGAGATAGTTATGTGTTTTGGAGAAAACAATAACTTGATACTAATCTAATGAGCAATTCCTCGTTCAAAAATATAATATAAATTTGTTTTAAATGTTAAGTTCAATTTAACAGTTTATGAAATATGGACTCATTTTTATTAAAAAGCATGTTAATGGTACTTTCTTTTTTTTTAAAGTTAATTTTTTAAACTAATGCTTAGTCGTACACTAAACTTCAATTTATTAATAGAAATGATTGAGCCAGAAAGCATAGTATGTGATCTCAAAGATCAATTCTGAATTAGAAGCAGAGAAATATGAAATGCCATGGTTATATTTCATAAATGCAAGGCAGGAACAATGCTAAGCTCAAAGACAACAAGTTTATCATAATTCACAGTAAATTTATATCCAAGTTCTTACAATGTTTCACCTTTCATGGCAGATCATCTATTATTACAATGTGAGATATTCAATAACAAAAGTGATAAAAAAAAAAGAAAAATAAACTAAATAAAAGAAGCATATATACCCAAAACACATATTTGAAAAAAAAAAAAAAAAATTTTTTAATGCCTCCTCTCTTTCAACCACATGCATAAGCATCACACAAACATGTCACACAAAAACTTCCCCACCCCCATTTGTCATAAGAGTTTCCTAAAATTGTTCTTGATATATAAAAATTTATATACCGTTTTCCCTCACAAACATAACAGACTTTTATAAATAGCCTTAGTGAGACAAACTGGAAATTTATTAAATACAACTATTAAGTTTTTTAAACTATTGAAATCATTCATTTTCATAATGCATTTATGGATCCCTGCAAATGGCAGTCAAAATTTCAGTAAATTTTGGCAATTAATAAAAAATAAAAATGAAAAAATAAAAATGAAAAAAAAAAAAAAAAAAAAAAATGGTAAGAAAAATGATTTATTGCTTCTTAAGGCAATTTTTTTGTCTGTGTGATATTACCTAATTCCACTTTGAAATAAGTATTCAAATATTAAACATTAGTGTAAAAAAATAAAATAAAAATAAATAATAATAATTTTAGAGTTGATTAAAAAAAAAAAAAAAAAAAATCAGTATAAATTAAGTGTTAATCCCTAAAGTTTATTGGTTACTTAAAAGACTTAATCTAAAACTATTAAACTCATTTCATGTAAGGCTCAAAAGAAAAAAAAAAGTTAATTCTAGAATAAAATCAATACACGACAACTGACCTTAATGTTTGCAATTTTATTGCATGTGAACCAATGTATTGTTTCTTAGATAACAGACACAAATCAAGAAAATGGATGAGGGAAACCAGTAATTTAATATAAAATTAGAGACTGGTCCTAAAATTAGATTTTTGATTTTTTTTTTTTTTTAATCCCTTGATGTGCTGCCACACTTGGGAGAAGAAAAGAAGAGACATTTGGTAAAAACTTAAGCACAGATTTTCAGCAGCAAGATTAAAAAAAAAAAAAAAAAAAAATGAAATGCCTTTGAAATTTGATTTTAACATTATTAGCATTCATTTTGATCAGAGACTTTGAGTTTCATACAATACACAGTATGCTTGATGGGACGTCAACCAAAATGAAATGTTATCCAAAAACCTTGACAGTCTGAAGTAGGAGATCCATCAATGAGTGAACATGGCTGGATTTGTGTATTCAAATCTCCACACCAGCAAAACCAAAATAGCAAGTATGTAAAAAAATCAGCCATTACAATTTTAAACAGGGGAGAAAAAAAATACATGAAGAAAATAAAGGTACAATTTTCATCATTACCTGCTATTCCACCTTGTTAATTTTCTAATTATTCAGTCACCCTACTCAAAAGAAAGGGTTTGTGGAATACCATATTTATTACATTTTTCTCTCTTTCTACAACCATTCTTTTATTAGGTACCCCATTATTTATTACATACTGCCATCCCTGATGTTCATTTATTATTATTATTATTATTTACAATCATCCCCTTTACTTGGTACCAAAAATAACTTTGCTGAAGAAAACACTACGCAGTTGAATTAAAAAAAACAAAAATAAATATGGCCAAGGAATAACATGCGAATTGTACTATAAAACTAGACAATTTGCTTCCTCAACTACCCTCACCTCTGCCTTGCTTGTCTACAGCAGAAGGTTACAACCAAATAAAATTTGCCTACTGTTACAATTGTCTCACGGTTTTATTTTGTGGGTGACAATCTGGCCAAAGAGTTAATTTTTAAGCCGCAAGCATTTGAATGAAAGAAACTGCACCCTGAGATTGAACCTGGTGTTTGATCTGAGCTGCAAGACTTATCAAGATAAAGAGAAGAGAATAGGCCTACCACAATGGACAGCCAGATGACGTGAGAATGTGAACACTGATTCACCTAAGTGATGTTTCAGGACCCAGCCACAATCCTCATCTGTCAAGCATTAATTAACAAGTAAGCCCTACAGCTAGTATATCAATTCAACCACAACATTCAAAATCAACTATTTAATAAGTGCTACAAATACCTTTTTCAGTTGCCAGTTTACCAGCACTGGATATTTTTTTTTTTTTTTTTATAACAGCAGATTCAATAGGTGACATGAGAAAAGACAAACTCAGTGTGGAACATCAATATCCTGCAATGTTCTGAAAAGTGCAATGGAACAGACTCATGAAAAAAAAGGTTAAAGAGAAAAGGGGACAAAAAGAATGGAGAAAAAGGAGGGGAATGATTTCTCATTGTATGAACAGAGAGTTTGTCTGTTAGGTAAAAACACATTACACTATGGCTATTTAGCCAGAACACCAATCCATGAGCAGAATGGCAGAAAGAGAAGTTACAAAAGATAAGAAATTAGTTTAGTAATGATAAGCTGTTACCAAGATTTAGTTTACCATGAAAAGACTAAATCTTATTTTGGAAACAACAAAAAATAAACAAATCTAGCCATTCAAAATCAAGAGACAGCTTTCTCAGGTCTCAAAGGCACAATTAATTCTGACATTTAAGCTCAATGATTTATATTTTAGAATAAATTGCATTTCCAATGCCCAGAAGATTACAAAATGTTATCAAGAAACTTAAAAATGACAATTACTTCTTTACATAAAAAAATCTTTAAGACAGTCCTTTGGGTTCAATGTTACATGGAATATCAATAACATTAAATTACAAAATCTTAAATTTATCAGGAGTTTCTTTCACAAAAATACAATGAAAACAGTTTAAATAAATCATTGTTCATATGCATCAGACAGAAGGGAATTTGAACCTTATGAAAAGTTCCTTTAAATTTGATTATATCAGATCTCTGATTGCTAAAAATGTCAATATTTTTAAATAACACAAACAGATGAACATTTTATGCATAAGATTATTGAGAAATAACATCTTTTTTTAATGCCTCTCCTGTATCATAAATTTTACAAATTTCTGAATAAATGCTTGCAGACCCCAATTCAACAGTGTCAAAGTACACCAAAGAGTTTTTTTTTTTCTCTTCCAAATCAGTCAATTGCCCTAAAATCACAAAAAGTATCAAATAGAGGTAGGTCAAGAGAATTCATAGCAGGTAAATTTAAAAGAATTAACTGCATATTTAATATTTATGCTCAAACTATTAACAAGAAAAACTACAGATGACAGATTATGTAAATGACCTTTTAGGGAAAGAAAAAAATATACAAAGTTACTGCTTGCATTAATATAAAAGAATTTAAATAACCTTTCATTGAC